TTTTACCCCCCCCCCCCCGAAGCCCCGGTATCATCCCGAGACCCGAAGCAAGTCCCGAAGCCCGAAGATCCCGAGAAGAAAAAGAGTTTCCAAGTCGAAGCTCTATCCGCGAGAAACCCGGTGTGTGAAGTGATCTCGGTTTCACCGAAGAAGTACTACTCTTAGAGCCGTAGTGCTGTCTGATCATCTTCTAATCAAGTGAGTGTATACTACCTTTCATAAACACAATAATAACACAAGTATGGTTTGAGTGTACTAAGTATATTGTTGTTTATATGTGTGAGTGCGTTGTTACTTTCTCCTAACGTATAATTATGAAGTATTTTATACGAGATACGTGTTATGTGCATATTTTGTTGTTATGTGTGTGAATGTATATTCACTTTCTTCTATCTTACAGATATGATTATTTCTATATGAAATACATGTTATGTGTGTGTGCCTCATCTGTTATATGGAAAATGTATTGATCAAGCATGCTATACAAGTTTTGAAAATATGTATAAAAATGTATGTTTTATCTACTAATATGTTGGGTAAAACATAGGTAGATAGTTGGTGTGTAATAAACAGATGAGAGGCCTCGTTGTTGTTTTGATCCAGTCATCTAGCGGAATTTAGATGACGACCACGGACTTTTCTAGACAGTCCTGTGGAACGCTATCAGGCTCATAACCTGTAGGTGTTAATGAACTTGGGTGTTCATTCGCTGTATTCCATCCCCCTCATGGTTGCCTTATTTGACTTATATTGTCGAGGAAACCCCACAGCATGTGTTGTCACCCCGATGAAAATATTCTTAGATTAGATCCCTTGTGTTAGTTATTTTAGAGACATAAAGTGAGAATAACGAGAATGGGTAACTGGGTTATTGTTGGTTGAAAATAATTAATTTAATTATTTATTGTGGGTTGAAAACCCTATATGCTCACCAGACTCCCAAGCCTGACCCACTAAGTTTTATTTGTATTACAGGAAGTGGCGCAAGGGCGTAAGATGGATGAACCATCAAGTTGTTTTGTTTACAAGTCTGTATATGTAAATATTTGTTGAATGACTTGTAATGTTACCGTTTATGCTTGTTGGTCTATATCGGAACATGACACCCCGAGTTTTGATTATATAATGAAAAATACATTTCTTTTATGAAATTCTTTGGTAAACATTGTTTTATCATGTTTTGTTTTTGGGAACAAATTCCGCAACTCTTTCAAATCAAAAGGATTTACTCTGAATTTATTTTAAAAGCATAAATGAAATCGGTCTTTTCTGGCCGAGATTTTGGGGATGTCACAGATCATGCCAACTCCTTTCTCTTCGAAGAGGAAGTACCTGAAACCAAAACTGTAAGCATAAAGCTTAGTGAGTTCTCCCATCATACCACATACCATACAATAACATATTGCTAGACATATCTAGGTGGCCAGGCTACCCTATCAGGCATATCTTGGTGCCCGACCTACCCTATCAAGCATATCTGGGTGCTTGACCTACCCTACCAGGCATATCTGGGTGCCCGAATTACCCTCCGGTTCATCTCAACTGGCTACAAGGACTATTTCATCCCTACCCCTACCACATAATCTATAGCATAAACATACTGTCAGGCATATCTTGGTGTCAGACCTACCCTCCGGTTTATCTTAACTGGCTGTGGGTTCTAACCTACCCCTCCTACCAATATCACATAATATCATAACATACTGGCACATAAAGCATAATAGATAGTGGCATACTAGACAATTACCACAAAGATAATCATCTAAACTATAATCGACTACTAGTGGGACAATATTGGTGTCCTTGACCCACTCCTACTAGAAGGTAACTTACCTCAAATATCGTGAAGTAGTTAAACTGTCCTCGGCTCCGAAATCAACTCCAATTAGACTCCTACACATAAAGCATCTCCTTTAATTACCCTTTCATACTCATAATCCCTTACGGGTTAACTTTGGTCAAAGCCAAGGTCACAGTCAACACCCTGGTCAAAGTCAGCCTTCTGGTTAAAGTCAACGTCTTGGGTTGACTCAACTTACCTAGTTGATCCATTAACTCATTGAGTTCCATGAATCATACACCCTGAAATCGCGATCCAACTCGTCGAGTTTTTTCACAACCTGTCGAGTTCCTCCTATCTATCGAATCAAGACTTCTCCAATCAACTCGTTGAGTCATCCTTGAACTTGTCGAGTTTTGCCCTTTACAGACTCGGGACACTTTGACCCAACTCGTCGAGTTCCTCTATGGGCTCGACGAGTTGTTCAGTCTATTGACTCCTCTTAATAGATTAAGCTCATATCCTTCAGATCTAAACTCCATACTTCATCCACATACTGAAAATGTCCTTTTAAGGGTAAAGTTTCCAACTTTACCTATTAATAGCCTTCCTTAATGGGTTTAGCTCAAACCCTAACTCTTCATGACCTAGATCTCGATCCAAAAGCCATAATACTTCAAGCTAAGGCATAAAGACTCGGATCTAGACCCTAAACACTACATGAACATATAAAGTCTCTGACTTTCTCTCCATGCATGGCCTTTTGGATCTTAAAAGGCAAAAATGACACCCTAAAGCTTGTATGGGGATTCAATGGCCATAAAGTTTACACCTTTATGCCATGAAGGCCCTCCAAGGTCCTAGATATGGAAGTATACTCACTTGTGACGTCCATTTCCCAAGGACCATGCTACTTGGACCTAAAACTCAATAAAAGTGAAGATGAAGAGATCTAAGCATACTATTGACAAGATAGGAGCTTTATACCTACGATAAACCAGAAATGTATCTTCCTCTTCAAAACCATAAGAATGCACCAAAAATGGCTCAAAACTCTCAAAGTGTATTAGGGTTTTGTGGCTAGGTTTTGGGACGATGGAGGTTGTAGATATGACCAACCTTTGGAGATTAAGGTGTTTAAATAGGGTGCTAAACTCTGAAAATTAGGGTTTCACTATGGCAGTCCTACTCGTTGAGTTGAGGCTCTCAACTCGTCGAGTAAACTTTCCAACCCGCGTCCAAGTCCGTTCCTACTCGACGAGTTTGGGGCCTTCAACTCTTCGAGTTTCTATATAAAAATGAATAAAATTTTGAATTTAATACATACCAGGAACCGGACATTACAAATCTCCACCCCTTATTTTAGACTTCGAGGATTGAAATAGCTCTAGGTAGTGCTCCCTCATCTCATCCTACGACTCCCAAGTCCATTCCGAGCCCTTCGTGGTGCTTCTATTGCACCTTCACCAACTCTACCCTCTTGTTCCTCAAATCCTTCGTCTTCCTGTCGAGGGTGGCTACCGGTTGCTCGATGTCGTTCAGACTGTCATCTACCTGAATATCCTCTAAAGGTACCACTGCGGAGTAATCTACCAAGCACTTCCACAACCAGGAGACATGAAAGGTGCTGTGGATATGACTAAGCTCGGTTGGTAGATCCCGTCGACATACAACCCAGCCCTCCTGAGCTAATACCATGAACGGATCAATGTATATGGGGCCTAACTTGCTCTGCTTCCTGAACCGGATGACACCTTTCCAAGGTGACACCTTCAGGAGGACTAAATGTATAAACTAAAATTAGTGAGAATATGTTAATGCTTTGGGTTTTGTTATTGTGTAACTTGAAACAATGATTCGAGTGAGATTTTTTTCAAAAAATCTACATAGTGGCATAGCCGGTTGATTCAACAATGTTATGGGCAATATGAGGACGTTTCAAAATGAACTTATAGAAGGTGCAACATCCATGTTGGACATGTTTTGAACATTTGTGCAATCATACTTCTCATGGTCTATTATTTGAAGAGAAATTTTAACTTGATGAAATATGAGGTGCACTGTATCAACATCTAGATCTAATTGGCAAAATGATATATATATATATATATATATATATATATATATATATATATATATATATATATATATATATATATTCATGGGCATTTTCTATATGAAAATGTATGTGTATTAAAAGTGGATGTATTCAAGATAAAGATAAAAGGTATTGAAGCAAAGTTTTGTATTCTATTGCAAAAAAGGCATTTAGTTTTAGCAACCTTTGTTTCTTCTCATTCCTAGTTAATCTTAGAAGAAAGTTATATAATTAGCTATTATCTTTTATGAACTCTATCTACAGCAAAATGGGTGTCTATATGTGCACCTATTGTAATTATTGTATGTTACATCCCAATAATCAAATTTATATGACTAGTAGTTTGAGTTTTATATTATTTAGATTCATTAGATTTAAAATAATCACGTTTGAAAAATAAAACATTCTTACTTTGAAAAAATTAATATTTTTCTCCACTTTAACTGATCCCTCTTTATTCGATGGGTGACTTTTGCCTCGATCTATATCTCCTTCCTTATAAATCATAGAACCTATATAATTGAACTCTTATTGGTTGAAGAGTATACTCCCTATACATGCATCTACTCCTTCCTCATTGACATTTCTAATAAAATTGCACCCAAAATGATTCGTTTTAATTGTGTTGAAACCTTGTTATCTTGCATCAATCTTGACCAACGTGAAGACATTTCCCACAACATTGTTGGATCAATCGGATATTGCCACTATTTAGATTTCTTGAAAAAACCTTACTCAAATCATTATATCAAATCACACAATAACTAAATTCAAAGCATTTAACATATTTTCATTTTAGTTTATACATTTGGTTAAAACATGAGTTGTTTGATTTGATCTATAATTTACTTAAGTTATTTCACTATTTTTCAAATATTTAAAAACATTTGAAACAAGAATACTTAAACCTATATATATATATATATATATATATATATATATATATATATATATATATATATATATATATATATATATATATATATATATATATATATATATATATATATATATATATATATATAAAGGGTTGATTGTAACTATTTGGATTAGATATGTCTTTCATATGCAATATAACAAATTGTTAGGGGAATGGAAATACAATTTTGTCAAATAGACAAAACTATCTAATCCCATATTATACAACTTTGCTTCTGTGTCACACACTCTCTCTCTCTCTCTCTCTCTCTCATTGCTAGAGCAGAGACAAACGACACCGAACCAAACTCCAACAGTTTTAGAGAGAGAAAAAAGAAAAAAGAAAAAAGAAAAGGTTCAACTTCTTCCAGAAATGCTCTGAAATCTATCATCAGGAAGAAGACGACGACGACGTAATTCGTCTGTATTCTGACCAACCAATCCAGCAAATAAATGCTTAGTCATTGTTTCTGCATCAATGCTCACCGAACAACTGCACTTATTGTATCCATCAAAAAAAGCTAGCAAATTTCTCATTGAACCCTAAAAGACTGAACACCAAAGGTAAAAATACATATATCTATCTAACATTTCAGTTTTTCTATTTCGTTTACTTTCACACTCTTGTGTGTGTTTTTTTCAGTGAATACAGCTAATATGCATGACTACTGTTCTTTCAAATTGCATCTGTTGCAATTAAGGTCAACTTCAAGTGAATCTGAAAATTTCTTCTGTTTACTAATTATGCGCTGTTTTTTATTATTATAATTTATTATGTTTTTATTTATTTGATCTACTTATTTATTCTCAATTTCGTTCTAGTTGAAGACTGTAAATTTCCGATATATGTTGCTCGTATTTTTACCATTTGTTCCTCTTTTAATCAAAATCCTTCGTTTTATCAGATAAAGAAAGCGAAAGCTAACAGAGAATCTCTAAGATCTCGTGTCTCTAATTCCTTTTCACTATCATTTCGCATTTAAATATTGATTAATTTCAATCTCTACCAGATTCTACTATTGAGGATCTTTGAATTCAATTCCATTTCTCGAAGATCCTTTGAAGATTCTAAAAAAGAAATAATCAAACCTATCTGAGAAACATAACTAGTGAAGAAATTTAGGGTTTTGGTGTGAAGAATGGCTGCAGCATGGGAGCATTTTGGAGAGATTGCAAATGTGGCCCAACTAACAGGTTTAGATGCAGTGAAGCTAATAGGGATGATTGTCCAAGCTGCTAATACAGCTCGTTTACACAAGAAGAACTGCAAACAATTTGCAAAGCATTTGAAGTTGATTGGAAATCTTCTTCAACAACTCAAAATCACTGAGCTGAAAAGGTATCCAGAAACACGTGAACCTTTAGAACAACTTGAAGATGCATTGAGAAGATCCTACATTTTAGTCAACAGTTGTCAAGATCGAAGCTATCTCTACTTACTTGCAATGGGATGGAACATTGTTTATCAATTCAGAAAAGCACAAAACGAAATTGATCGATACTTAAAGATTATCCCACTCATCACTCTTGTTGATAATGCTCGAGTCAGGGTATATAATTATAAACTCAACTTCATCTTGTTCTAAAGATTATCAAATCTTGTTTTAACTTGTTTTCTTTCAGGAAAGATTGGAGTATATTGAAATGGATCAAAGGGAATACACATTGGATGATGAAGATAGAAAGGTGCAAGATGTTATCATGAAGCCTGATCCTTCACATACTGATACTGTTGTGTTGAAGAAAACACTTTCTTGTAGCTACCCAAATTTGCCTTTCAAGGAAGTTATCCAGAAAGAAAATGAAAAGCTTCATATGGAACTACAAAGATCACAAGCTAACTTAGATGTAGGCCAATGTGAAGTTATTCAACATCTGATTGAGGTCACTCAAGTTGTTGCTTCAAATTCTCAAAATGAAACAGAGCCTCAATATCCAAATGTTAACACCAATAAACAAGCTCGAGATGAGAGTGATACAAATACAATTACAAATACAAAGCCACACTCAACTTCAAGGTTGGTTTTCTTTCTCCTTCTGAATGTAAGGGTAAAATGGTCATTTACGATATACTAAGTAGTAAGTGGTGTTGCAGAAGCACATCATATGGGCATCAAGAATGGCATTCAGATCTACTTGGCTGTTGTTCAGAGCCTAAGATGTGTATGTATTATGTAATATGTTTATGTTTTCAATTCTTAACATTTTTCCATCTGTATAGCAATATACTTTAAGAATTTAAAAAATAAAAATGAAAATAAAATTTTATGTAGGTATGAAGACATTCTTCTTTCCATGTGGGACATTTTCAAAGATTGCATCTGTGGCGACAAACAGGCACATGAGTAAGATTCTTTATGAATTTAAAAAATACTAAAAGTTTTTTGTGCCCTAATTATATATTATTAATTTATGACCATATCTATCTGTCAATAATTGAGAACAGCTTCAGGAGAAGCCTGCAATGAGCTGATGGCTTATTCTCTAATATTATCATGCTGTTGCTATACCTCTTGCATTAGGAGGAAGCTTCGGATGACTCTCAATATCACGGTACCCTGAAATGACCATTTTACCCTTACATTCCAACAAACAGTTTTCATCGTATTCATGAAAGAGTTGGGAGGAAAATGTTAAGGGATTAACCAATTACGTCTATTAAGTCAAAAGGATACATCCCTTAAGTGTGGATTCTGTTTTCAGTTTTTGTAGAAAGTTAAATTTTTTTTTTAAAAAAAAAAAATTGGATTTTTATGTTACGTAGGGTGGGTGGTTTGATGACTTTCTGTCGCATATCATGTGCTGTTGCTGTGCACTTGTTCAAGAGCTGCGAGAAGTTGAAATGCGTGGAATTCATGGTATTCACGTCTTTTTATATATATTTCTAAGGGGCAAATATGGAAATTTGCAATTGTGGTTGTGTTTTGATGAGGGGTAGAAATGGAACTTTGCAGGTCCAGAGAAGACAAAAACAAGCTCTCCACCTTCGCAGTGGATGGAATCGTGAAGTTGATTTGATTATATGAGAAATCGTTACATAAGATTTGTTGCCATTGTTAATAGTTAATACCTCTCATGGTGGTTGACTTTTTCTTTACCTTACTTTTACTTTATGTAAAGTTGTTCTTGATGATAGATTCAAGTCTTCAACGCTTCAACAATAACTTAATTTAAAGAGTGAGAAATAGTGGTTTGATAAATGATAGGTTTTCATGAAAAGAGATTTGAATTAAATTTATTGATAGTTGGATTCCAATTCTTTGTAAGCGTCATATTAGCCCAAATAGTGAGTCCAAGATATATAAAAAAAATAGGTCATATTGGCCCAATAGTGAGCCCAAGATATATAAATAAGAATGAATGACATGTCACGAAAGAATTGTATGTATTCGAGGCAACACCTTCAACAACAAGACAAACTGAAAGCACTGTAGAATTGTAGCAAAATTTTGGAAATTTGATAGTGACCACTAAGGAAGATAAGATCATCGACATACAATAAGTGTGAGATGGTGGGCCCTCGCAAGGTGTCGAGATTCTATGGAACATTCTAAGAAAGCTAGTTTTATGCTGAATCAAATATAAAATTTCCATAACAATGATAAAAAAAGAAAGGTGAGAGTGAATTCCACTAAGCGACATAGAAGTTCACATGAAGGTGAAGCAACCATATTTTACACTTTATCCGTGATGAGCGAAAGCACATTTAAGCAATAACTAAGTTACACAATTCGCAATTTAGAGTTAAATGTTCTGTCAAAGTCACCTTTCAATATAATGGCATTTTGCTGTTGTTTTTTTTTACCCCAATAATTGCATACTTCATTATCATAAAAGGGTCATCAAGGATGTTCCTTCCATTTATGAAAGCCAATTGAACATCTACAAGTTGTGGATATCACTTTATGGATGCTCCAAATGAGATTTTTAGGTTTGCATGTGGTATTCTTGTAAATCATACAAACCTTCTAAACCTAAAAGAAATAACTTCAAATTGAATGCCAAATTCTAGTTCATTGTAATTACTAATTAAATCGGCTGTATCCCTTGATTATAAGAACCGAAAGAACTAATTTTCTCTTCCATTATTCTTGAGTTATGTCTTTGTTATAATAAGTCTCACCTCTGTTTTCTTTCTTCAATTAACCGATGTGGGATATATTACTTTCATGCACCGTCACATTTAGCATTACTTCAAATATTACACAAAACATAAATAAAGCAAAAATGGTAATCGTAGGAAATACCGTAGTTTTAAAACTAATATCTAATAATATAATAATCAGAGGACAAATTGATAGTACAAGAAGTGACCAACCATCCGATGTGAAGCTCATCCGAGCTTTAGTGTGGGATCCGAAGTTATGTGTTACCCGAGAAGCTTTTTATCCGAGGTGTTTGTTTGTACGAGAAAGTGTTTATGCGAGCAAGAAAGTTATATTTTGTCTTTTAGTTTGTAGTAGATTTAGGAACAAAATCAACAATATCTTATTGTCAGAGTATTATTACTAGTATTCTTCTTTTTATTCCTTTGGTTAAATGAATGTACAAATATGCTATTATATAGGTTAGTAAGACTTCATTATAATGTTTATTTTTCAAGCATATTGAATACTGTAATAAGATTCTCTTCAAACATTCTGATTATTCTTATTTATTACTCGTTTTATTTCCTCATTAAATACTAAGTTGATTTTCAAGTCTTCAACCGGATCATTTCAGACTGATACTAGGACCTTACTTATTAGTTTCATTGTTGTTTGGTTTTTTACTCTCACAATTGGTATCACAGCCTAAATGGTTATCCATTGAATCCATCTGCCAAGATTGTCATTACTCAAGAACACAATGATATTCATTCTCATTTTTATACCTACATGATAAAATTTCTCCATATATACCATTGTCGCTCTTAAATTTTAAAACCTAAAAATGGCTAGTTCGAATCAACTATGTACTCGATACACATAGCCAACAATGTGGATTTGCCCTACTTTAGCCCCATAACGGTGTGAATTTTAAAACGTAAAAGTATTTTCGAAGAAATGTTTTTCATTGATTTATAAAATATTGGGATGTCATAATTGATACAAAACAAAAGCATAAACATGCATTATATTATTCTTAGACTATCAGTTTACATCTCCTTGAATCTCTTGTCATTCATATATCTTTGTACTGCTACATGTGCTACAAAGAAATTGAGTTTGTCGGGTTGGGAAACCTGATGAGTACATAGAGTTTTCAACCCATAATATTATAATCTTTATATATATATATATATATATATATATATATATATATATATATATATATATATATATATATATATATATCATCAAACAAATAACACAGTTAACCGTTCCCGTTCTCCTCACTTCCTAATATTTAAATAATGATCTCGAGGGATCCTTCCTAACGGATCTTTATTAGCAGCAGTTGCCATTTATCCTTCCTTAAACATCTAGGCACATCAGTACAATAATACTTTGGGCACAACACAATAGTACGACGGTACATTGGTCATAACACAACAGGTCACAACTCATTATTTCGCACAACATTTTACTAAGTAATATATTTCTAGGTTACTAGACACAACAATACAATAGTACTTTAGCTACAGTACAATGGGTCACAGCTCGTTATCTTACACAACCCGTACCTCAGCCTCTCATTTACTATTATTTTTACCCATCCCTTTACTAACCTATCATAACCTCTCATCTTTTATTTCACACAACCCTTCACTTCCCAACCATATTTAAGTATAATAATTTATATACGTTTAATCAAGTAATAACTATATCATGTTACACAAATATATTAAACACATCTAAACAACACACATATCATTTAAGCATTTAGAATACTTGTATTTATGTGTAAGTAGAGAAAGTAACTATGCACTCACATGATAAAAGCGGATGCCTCAGGTTTTGGTCAGAACTTCGCCTTAGTACTTTAGTTTTTCCTCTGATGTGACCTAGGTATAAATGTCACTGAGTCTTAATCTTACATTCTTGGCGACTAATGATAGACTAGATTCCTTACTAATCCCAATGTCTACATCAAGATTTATCAAGTAAGGAACAACCATGTAGGATCATATCGGAGGTATGGTCCGTTTGGTATACAGGGTATACTGTTTGGAAATCTCACTTAAAACACCTCACTAAATCCAACCTAGACATCACCCCCTAAGTAGATCAATCGGTATAATGACTTGGAATCAATGATAAATCTTAATTAGAGGTTCATAATAGCGACTATGATTATAATTAAAAGTTACACTTTAATAAAATAAGTGTAGCTTAACTTACATAGCTTTTAGCGAAACCGAGAAGTATGCGAGCAGGACTCTAATCCAAGAGCTTCTATTCATCGACTATCTGACACCGTAGGGCTTCGTAGAAGTGGTCAGAAACTCAGGAGTAAAGGGATAAAGGTTGGAAAGGGTTCTAGAGCGATTATGGAGGAAGGTGTAAAGAGAAATGGCTGAAAAACATGTCTACACATAGCCTAAAAATGGGTGCGCGCCACACACTTGGTCGACCCTGATGATGTGGCTTTTCTCAAACTATGACATGTGGTGACTTTTGGGTGGAGTGTCAGTGTGTGTCGTACACCTTGTCGAAACGTGCGGAAGCACAAACGAATTTTTAGATTTTCCAAAAATCCATATCTCCCTTATATAGGCTCCGTTTTTTATGTATTTTATACCCACACATATCTATCAATGAGATCTACAACTTTCATTTAGAATCCATCGACTAATTTTGAATTTATTTTTAAAGTTATATTTTTAACAGGATTAGACTGTTAAAGTCCATTAAAAATTCATTATTCTCTTGTTCGATGTGATAAGTTTTAGTATACTACAACATCCTATGGTGCACATACAACCCTAAATGCTTTGGATCTATGTTTTCTCTGATTATACATGCAATATTGTTTCCAAAGCATTTAGCCTACAACTATCATACAAAATGATATAAACAATATAGAATTGAGTTATAGAGTTACCTCTTGGTTGTAGCTTGTAGAACTTGTTGTGTTTGGCCTTAAGAACTTAGTGCCCCAAGTGTTGCACCTCAAATGGAATCACAACACACCTTTGGACAAATGATGGCTTTTAAGAAAGATTCTTGCAACCAAAATCGGCTCATGGAACTCCAAGGATCACTAGTGTCTCAAGTGGCCAGTTTTGGATGCTAAAGGGCTTCTTATATAGTGTGGCAAGATTAGGGTTACACCATGTAAACCTTAATGTGCATGACATTCCATATTCCTTAGGATCCATGGGTTTAAACCCCCATGGATCATCCATGGGTTGTAACATTGGTTTAGCTTAACCTAAAGAATCATGGATCATTAGCCTACACCATAAAAATAAATGATTTACCAAATCAATCCCCTTATATTTAGTTAGTCTCTTTTGATCACAAAATTAATTCCAACTTAATTCTTGATTAATACTAATTAAATAATAATATGATTTCATGTTAATATATTAGAACTTATAATATATTAACAAATCATAAATAACCTCTTCTCAAAAGTTCATCCTATTAAATTCTCCTGGTGATATGCAACCCAAATGGACCATGTTACTCTCGGGTCACATACATACTAATTATAGTTATGGGCTTAGACACCTAATCCAACAGTCTCCCAATTGGATAAGTCTAATAACTATTATTGCGAGTACGAGTCCACAACCCATCTAGCAATCGTAGCTCTTAAACGCCACTGTCAAACTCTGACCTAGTCAATGACACATCCATTAGATAAGTGATCATATATTCCTCCATTCTAGATATAATATGGAATGGGACATGGATTATAATCATTCTCTTTGTCCATATGTTGTTTCCTGATTTTCGATTTATGACGACCGACTAATTGAACAAATCAAATTAGTCCAGGCTTAGCCAAGCACTTAGGAGTGTCATCACTAAATCATCGAGGGTCCCACATATATCAGTCCAGGCTTGGCCAAGCACTTAGGAGTGTCATCACTAAATTATATAACTTATATACACTAGGGGATTATAGAAGGAAGTTATAGGTCTCTCTAGGAGTACACTATTTTAAGACACAGAAACTCACATCTATGGAGTAACTATTACCCGAGAGCATGCATGTATAAGGGTTGTATTATCATAAAACTACATTGCACTATTTTCAAGTACAAAACAACTTTCATTTCAGAAATCATGCATCCAACGGGTTTTCTTACAGATTTAAAATCTA